ACCTGCTTCACCCCACCCAAAGACCCCCCCCACTCGGGGGTTTACGTTCCCCCCCCCCCCCCCCCCCCCCCCCCCTCCCAAAAGTTCTGAAAGTGATGTTAACCGAAGAATTAACTTCGAACGGCCTAATTCATAGAACGAATAGAACGATATGGTTATGTTAAACTTAGATGGTCTATTTCGATGAACGAAATGTCGATTAAAATTGCGGGGGCGGGTGCTCCTCTTCGCTCTGTCACAATTACACTACTATCGTTATTTAAGCATACCAGCTGTTTATGAGTCACTGGACAGGACCTTTTTGTTAATCATTTAAAAGTTTCGAGATAGGTCCTTTTTACTAATGAAAAACGTGACCAATAAAAAGGTCCCGCACAGGGACTTATCAAACATCCAGTATAACTAATAATGACGAATTATTTTCTATTTTATAGTATATTCGACATGGCTCAATACCGCAATATCGAAAAAAATTAATAGTTTTTCTTACTTTGTTTAAAAACACCATCCGATGTTTATTAGCTCTTTCTGTCAGCTCTCCACATTCCTGGGCGGTTACTTTCTTTTCCGACTGATCAGTAACCATCTCTGGTAGTTCATAACTAATATTCAGCATCGGAACAATTTAATTTTCAAAATATCGTTTCAATACATATGTATTACATTGTGTAATATAGTATGTGAAAAAAAACCGGTTATGACATGGTATGACATGTATTCTACCGGCTGGCAATTTTTAGTTTGCATCACATTTTTAATTGTAGAACATACATGCATAACTTTAATCACAAAAATATATAATTTTGAGATTCGTACATCATGAGATTACTCAATTATTTCCCCATCTTCATTGTAGTTGAAAATATGGCCGGCCGAAATTTATCCGAATCTTGAAATTTATCCGAATCTTACAAAAACTTATGCCGGAAGAAATAAATAAATAGGAATGATCGAGAGCGTTGAAATTTGGTATTTTTTCAAACTACCATTCTTCAACACTAATAATTATCTCTAACAATTATCACTAATAATTATAACGATAACAATTTATCTCTAAAGATTATTTCTAACAATTATCTCAAACAATAATTTATAACAATTATGGTTTCATTATTTAAGGAAAAAAAACATGTGGATGTGCTAATTTGTGGTGCAGGTAAAAAAAAATATATATATATTTATTTTGAAATAAAAGTTTGTCAAAGAATTTGTTTTTTAATTTATTTTTATTTGTATTTTTTTTGGGTAAAAGGTCCCGTTGGCCTATTCTTAGCCAATGAATTGGCCGAATTCGATATCAGTTTCCGTATCATTGAAAAGGTCGAAAAGCATCCTGATTTTTCAAAGGCTCTCTTGGTGGCACCGAGAACCATGGAAATTCTCGACAATAGGTAATTTAATATCCATTTATCCATTCTTTATTTTCAAATAACATATGTTTACTTATTTTTTTTTTTGTTTCTTTTAGGGATCTTTTAGGTCCATTCTTGGAACATGCTGTCAAATTGAAATATATTACTATGCACCCAAATGTTCATGATGTTCGTGATCCACTCAGGATCGACCTTGCCAGCATGAACAGCCCCTTTGCATTTGGGTTAATGAACCGTCAAAATAAAAGCATGGATTTTTTAATTGACGCTCTACACAAAAAGAAATCTGTGGGAAAAAAAAACATTCCCAACATTGAATTCGGCACGGAACTAATAAAGTACGAAGATAAGGGTGATCATGTCATCGTTATTATAAAAAAGCACAATGTGGAAGAAGAAATTATATGTAAATATTTAGTAGGATGTGATGGTTGTCATTCTGCCGTCAGAAAAGGAATAAAGGATTGGACTTTTGAAGGTGTGATTAATTTATAATTTATATGAATAAATTTAATTAATTTTTGTCGTTCTCTTTAGTAAACTCGTACATAATTCAAATTTATTTTTCCTAGGTCAGGCGCTGAAATCTTCCTGGGCTTTAGCTGACGTAGAAATTGATCATGAATTGCTTAAATACGACCATGCAACTGCTTTCCCAGTTAATGATGGTACCCTTATTATTTTACTACATTTTATACGTTTAATTTTCATCAAAATAAATATTTTAATTAAATATACTATGTTACTTTACTAGGGCCTATTGCGATTATACCATTGGATGCTAGAAAAAATACTTACCGTATCATTGCCAAAATTTCTGAAGAAGAGAATAAACCTGAAACTAATGATCACGTTACGCATGGTCTCACAAATTATGCACATATTACGCTGGAAGAGTTGCAGAAACTGTTTGATGAGAAAATTGCCCCGATTAAAATGGAACTAAAGAATCCAGTATGGATTTCCAATTTCAAGATTAACGAAAGAATTGTAAATAGATATAGAACAGGAAATGTGTTCGTCGCTGGAGGTAAATAAAACTTTACTTGTTTAATTTGTTCGTATTACAATTATTATTAACAATTATCATTAATGTAATATCTATTTAAAAAAAAAAAGATGCTGCTCACTGTCATTCGCCATTTGGTGGTCAAGGCATGAACTTAGGAATTCAAGACGCTCATAATTTGGCATTCAAATTGGCTCTAGTTATTAGAGGTCAGGCAGCTGACGCTAATATACTTCTTGATAGTTATGAAAAAGAACGGTACCCCGTTGGTAAAAGTGTTGTTGAAGGTACCGGTTTTGCTACAAAAATGTTGGCTGCTAATGATTTTATTAGCACATTCCTCCGAACGCGCGTTGTTCCTTTAATGTTCCAATTCTTCCCCCAAACTGCATTTAAATTCCAAACCAATTTGTTCCAAACCGATCTTAATTACTTGCCCGAATCTTCCGAAATTCTTCACAAGTATGCATCTCGCTCAAGCACTGAAAACAAATTGATCAAAGCAGGTCATTACGTACAAGATGGATTATTAAAGAAAATTACCCCTGATAAAAGTCATGAACGTATAACTATGTTTGATGTCTTTCGTTCAACCGCATTGAAGCATACCTTAATCCTCTTTACCCTAGCCGAGGGTGTTACTTCTGATTGCAATCCGCTTATTAAAACTCTATTGGAGATATACACTGATTATAAAAATACTATCACACCCGTTATCATTTCATATGAAGGCGCCGTACAGACTGCTGATATACCATTCATGCCATTCTTAAAAGAGGTCAGAGAGCGTCATATATTTATGGAATCAAAATTCGAATTGCATGAAAAATATGGCATTACGAAAGAAATTGGGAAGCAGGGTTTCGTACTTGTTAGACCTGATTTGTATGTTGCTAGCGCAGTGTTTGAAGATGATGTTGATAAACTAAAGGACTTTTTAGAAGGATATTTGGTCAAGGCAGATGGTTTATAAAGTATTCAAAACATAAATTTTTATTTGTATTTAAAGAAAGGATAATTCTATTTATTTTTACTATATTGTTTATTTGCTATATTCGTTTTTTTTTTAGCTTTATTTAAATCTGATTTCAATTGTTATATTATTTATTTCCTTTATCCATAATCCATATCATTTACTTGTATTATAAGTGGCAATTTTATATAATGAACGTCTAGTGTATCTGAATATTTATAAAATTGTGTCCCAGATTTAACGCTTGTATTTATAAGTCCAAATATATCTATATTAATATTTAATATATTTGAATACAAGTTACTCTCGTTTTAGTGAAGTCGTCAGGCTGCAAGATTTTCTTTTCTATATCAAGAGTCTATTAGTAAATTTTTAGTAACCTTATTGTGTTGAGAGGGCTTTATATAAGTTATTTTTCATTATATTTATTTTAAACATTCATAAATGCAATTGAATAGTAAATATTCATGGACTTAAATAGCTTATTTCATAGCGCTTTTCATATATTACTGTGACCACCACTTCAAAAAAATTGATACTTTTTTCAATTTCAACCTTTATTTGGACTGGAGCAGAGGGGAGCGGAGGGAAGACCTTTTAGCCACCATATTCATAGAGATTTTGCAGAGGTCCGGCTCTCACCCCTGTAATGATGATATATACGTATTTAGCCTATTGCCATCCCCGTATAAATTTTAATTAATCAGAAATCCAATCATTAACGTTAAAAGATCTTAAAAATTATTTATTTTTAACTAAAACTCTTAGAACCAAAATAGTTTGCCACTACTATTTGCATACCAGCTTTTGATGACGATCGTAATCTTTTAAAGAAATTTCATAATGTAGTTGGATATGTACAAACAATAATGTATTGGTAGTTTAACTTATGTGTCGGCAGCGTAAGCGGAGTATACTTTATCAGTAAATTTAATAAATTTTTTTTATTTTGATTCTACAGAACTGTAAAACAAAAATAAAAAAAATCTTCATTGAATTTGATTGGATAGTTACTAAAATATCTTTGCTTAAATGTTATAAAAATTTTGCTATGACTATAATTTTATTGATTTCAAAACTTTGAAAAATAATATCTCAACAACTACCTAGCCAAATTTGATGTAGTTTTTTTTTGATTTTACAGAAATGTAGAACCAAAATAAAAAAAAAACTTGTTAAATTTGATTAGGTAGTCATTAAGATATCTTCATTCAAAGTTTTATAAAATTTTACTGTGATCATTATTTTGTTATACTTTACTGCCAGAATATAACTTATACTAACAGAGTCAATTTTTACTATATATAAACTTGCATGTAGATAATGTAAGTTTTGTCAATTTTAAGCAGCTTATAAGTAAGGTTTCAGCCCTATGAAACACCCTTGTAACAATTTTAGCAAACATTAACTGTTAAACTATTATTATATGGTAATATGGTTCATATATACTGCAGTCAAGCCTATAACCAAATGGCTTCAACCAGTTTCAAAAACCTAAACCTAGTTTGAATAACAAATTATTTTTTCAAACTAGGTTTAACTGTTTTTTTAAAAAAACTTTACCATCTCAATCTATTCTGACTCTATCATAATGTCCTCTTTGGACAACATAATTTTTGTTGTTAATAAAGTTAAGGCTAAAAATTAGGATAAAATTAGAAGCTATATAAAGCTAAAAATAATGGTTGTTTGGGATGTTAAACATTTTTGCTTAATACATCCAACCTTTGCCATTTAGACAGTTTTTGAAATATAGAACTGTGAAGTTAAATGTCTTTAAGTTATAGATCAAAATAAAGATACACACATTGGTTTTAATCTTTAAAAAAACTTATTATATACAATTAAAATAATATTTTTTTGATATAAATATCATGAATATTGCAAATAATTATGCAGAGTTTGCAACTAACTGATATATAAAAGTAATTAAAATATTGTATATAATATTTTAAAATCAGCACACACTTAGCATTTAACTAATAAAAAAATTATTGTTGAAGCTGCAAATTAGGATCTCGATTTAAAAACATAAACCCTACCAAACTTTTTATATAAATTTTTATTATCAAATCTAATCCTAAATCTTAAAGTTAACTATAAAGAAAAATTAAAAAATGTAATTAAAAATTTTTTAAATTTCACATTTAAGTATTTAAAATTTCCAGCTTCAGCTGCTTTCAGCCTCAGCTGAAATAATTATTTTAAAAAATAAAAACCGAAATTATCACATACTTGTCTAAATGTTAAATACAAACTAAATTTTATTTTTTTTTTTGGTGTTAAGGTGGAATCTTGCCCATGACTTTATTTATTAATAATATTTTTACATGTACTGCTACATTTTTATATTACTTATATCAAATATATTAAGCTTAGACCTGGATTCTATTGGTAACCTATGCTCTAGCCGAATCTATTACTTGTGTGATAGGTGTCCCATCTGCTATTGGTCACCAATTTAATTTTCTGTGATCCAAATATACCAAAGTGGTATATCATTATCAACCTACTCACTTGGTATTTCAAGTTCTATTTTGGTACACTTCTCTATAACAACATTCTCTGCATTACTCATACCACTTATATCTAAGCTCCCAAATTTGATAATCTTCTTTATAAGAAGTCCTTGTAGCCTAATTAAGCTACTTCCAATCTTGGTGAACTTCAGCTAGCCTGCTCAGGTGAGTCCTACAAGTAGGCTCCATGCTGATCCAAGTTAAGCCTCTGTTAATAATGCCTAGTTTAGTTAGTATATTTGCTAATCTCTATTATCATATTGGGTAGGTACTCCCGTATATTGGTGCAAATTGCTGTGTTGCATTACAAGTTATCTTGTAACTTCCAGATAGTGGTTTTTCATATTACTTTAGTTTGTAATACTTCCAATTAATCTTGGCATCTTTTGGTTTTTCTGATATGCAAACTCTATTCGTACAATATACTACCAGCCTAGTGAATCTAGCTATTTAAGTTATTACTGTGTGTCCTGAGTTTAAGCCTTTTGTATAATTTACTACCAGCCCAGTGAATCTAGCTATTTGAGTTATTACTGCGTACCCTGAGTTTAATCCTACTTACTTTGTCATTGTGAGGTATTTCCCTAATAGGCCAAGTGGCTTAAAGCCAGAGGTGTATCTGATTCTAGTTAGGCCAATCCTTTTTTACAAATCATTCTTGTGTTCTTTATTTTTTTCACTACTTCAGTTATGTTACTGTTGTATTATACTTTCAAGCAAGTACCCCACAAGTTGAATGCAGGAATGTTAGTGCTGCTCCTGTCACCTCTAATTGAGAACTGATATATGCAATCTTTATATAACAGAACCTTCTATGACTCGGTGTCAAGTGTAGTGTTATCATTCCATGATTGGACCTCTTTCTAGTAATTCCCTTTTCTAGTTTCGTACTTGCACTTGGTTTTAACCACAGAGCTTCACATTTGATTATGGCCCTCTTCTGAGTTACAGAAGTGAAAAATTCTAAAATTTTTGCCTCCATCCCACTCGAACCATCAACCTAGTCTGTGGAGGTTTGGCAGTTTAACTACTAAGCTATAGAGCCCAAACCTATACAAACTAAATTTGTATACATTAATCAAATAAAACTAAATGAATATATTTAAATATTTATATACATTATTTATATATATTTTTTAATAATACAATTAAGAATTTTTGCATTTACCATATAGACAAATGGAGGGCCGATTACATAATTCTTCCCAATGATCACTTGTATCTAATTCTCTTTACAAACAATTTGATTTTTTAAACAATTTTACTAAGTAAACTGCTATTAGCTGTCTAAGTAAACTTGTTCTATACAAGATTTTATATATAAACAGCCCTTTATTGTATCTTTTTAGCCCTTTTACAAAGAGATATAGCACACTTGTTTAAATTTCTTATTATTTAAAAATCTCAAAGTTTTATTAAGTAAATACTACTGTCTCCATAATAGAAACAGATAGAGCTCATCTAGAGATTCATTTGAAATATAATACATAGTAAACAAACTTAAACCTACATTTTTATCTTCAAAACTCTGCAAACTCTCTTGCAAAAATTCTTCTAATTTTTTTGCAAAACTTTTTTTGTTTTTTGAGGAGTCCTGGCTCCTTTGGATGCTCAAACCTGCAGATCACTATTACAAATCAATATTACTAATTAATTTACACAAAAATATTATCTGTTTCATCTATTTTT